GATGTATCCCATAGAATCAGAACAGGGTGGATGAAGTGGAAGAGTGCGTCGGGATTTCTATGTGATAGAGGTATGTCGACTAGACTGAAGGATAAATTTTATAGGACAACAATTAGGTCTGCATTGTTGTATGGCGTAGAGTGTTGGGCGGTGAAACAATGTCACATTCAAAAGATGAGTGTGGCAGAGATATGCATGTTGTGTTAGATGTGTGGGCATACTAGGAAGGACCACGTGAGAAATGAGACAATTTGACAAAGGGTGGGAGTAGCACCTATTGAAGACAAGATGTGGGAGTCTTGCTTACGGTGGTTTGGTCATGTGTGTAGAAGACCGAGTGATGCACCTGTCAGACGTGTTGAGATGTGTGGAGAAGAGGCAGGGAAGAGAAGGAGAGGAAGACCCAAACAGACGTGGGTTAGGGGAGTCCGAAGTGATATGCTTCTTCTTGGGTTGGATGAGGGTATGACTTTGGAGAGAGCAAAGTGGAGGGCAGGTATTCGTGTGGAGGAGTGATCTCGTATTATTATTTCCCCTCGTCTTTTTTCTTCTTGTTTTTTATTCTTTTATCCTTATATATAAACATTATTTTTATCCTTTTTATTTTATCATTTTTAGGTATATTCATCTCGTTTTATATTATCTTTTTTATAATAGCTTATTTTTTTATCTTTATTTTCTTTCTTTTCCTTTTGGTGGTGATATCATGTATCGATTCATGTTAGCCGACCCCAATATCTTTTGGGACTAAGGCTTGGATGTTGTTGTTGTTGTAACTGACGGATGGTCCAACGAAACGATACAGCAAGAGATAAAACAACACGAAGAGTGGTGGGTTTAACGACTTTATATACGAAACAACTTTATACATTTAGAATTAAGCAGTGCAAATTCACATCAGCTAAACCATTTTTGTTCAATGATTTACTTTGTTTTTTATCCAGGGGGCGTCTGGGGGAGGGGGCTGGGGTCTGCCGGTCTGGAGTAATCTGGGCTGAAACTCACTCAATTGAGTTTTGAACCCGAGACCTCCTGTAAGGGAGAATGAGTCGGCGACCAGCTGGGCCGGACCGCTTCCTCTTGTTCAATGATTTACTATATCTACACTTCTCAAATTTCAACTCCTATCACCTTTGGCCTCAACTGTTTCACAATATTTCCATTTCCATATCAAATAATTTCAGATGAAACAATTGTTGGATATTTTATCTCACAATCTTCGTATCGCCGTTTGATCATGTATTTTGAAGATCATATCTAACAAAAATCCTGAAGTATATAGGTTCCCCTTTTATAGATCATTATTAATACCATTAATACTTGATGAATTATAAATAATTGTGTAAAAATTGTTGGTCCAAAAATAGACGTTCGTAGGCTTTTAGAAAAGTGTTGGGGAGTTTGAAAGCGTAACCACTAGTATAGTGACTAATTAACTATGACATTAACATAGTATTAAATATTTATTAACTATAATGTCAATGATGTTGACCGTTCTTCTTCTTAACTGACATGTCTGCCTGGCTGGTAGGTTGGCCACTTGACTCCCTTCTTGCTGGGATGGTAGGTCGGTTCCTTGTCAGGCTAGTGGTTGACTTCCTATTGGGCTGGTAGGTCAGATCATTGCCAAGTTGGTAGACGGCACCACACTGGGTTGGTAAGTCGACTTCCTATCAGGCTGATGGACGGTTCCCTGGTGGGGTGATAGGTCGGCTTCCTGTGAAGCAGGTGGACGACACTCTGCTGGGCTGGTAGGTCGACTTTTACCTAGCTGATGGACAACTCCCTGCTGTGCTGGTTGGTTCGCTCCTAGTCAGGTTGATGGACAGCTCTCGAGTGAGCTAATAGGTCGGCTTCCTGCCAGGCTGATGGACAGCTCCCTACTAGGCTTGGACTCAGGCCGGGTCGGGCCTAGGCCCGGCAGGCTTTTGAAGGTTGGGGTGAAGACCTGGGACCGGCCCGGGTTACCACCGGTTCTCGGCCGGACCCAAACCGTGTTGGGCCGGTCCGGTTCCCGTGCCGGGTGGCCCGAACCGGGTCCTAGCCTACTCCTTACTGCATAGTTGGTTGGGCCGATCCAAGCTCCTTAATTGTTGGGCCCTACTGGTCGGGTTGGGTTGGTGTAACACTGATATTGGACTTGGACGTGCTGGTCTAAGTTGTGAGCCTGGGCTCTTAATTCTAAAGCCTAAGTATGAGATCATTAGGCTCTGAGCCTAGCTCCGTTACTCTATCAAAAATAAATATTCATGATTTCATAAATGGTGCACACTCAAACTAGGGGAGGTGTTTTCAATGACTTGATCTATGGTATTAAAACTCAATCAATTTGATCATGTGGTATTTAAATGAATTCGTGGGATTGAATAATTAAGTACATGAAAATAGCAATGAAACAAATATACTAAGAAGAAAAACCTTTACGCTTAGTTATAATATTTAAAATTTGAAATTGTATGTTTATTAGTTTGGATTAAAGATATTTTGGGTTTTTTTCTGAAAGAAATAGGCTTAAATTGATATTTAAAATTTGAAATCGTATGCTTATTAGTTTGGAACTTTGGATTGAAGATATTTTGGGTTTAGATACATGAAATTCATAAATGCATTTCAAACGCAATTCCGTAAAACAATAAAACATAATATCGAACCTTGAACTTCTATCTTTATACTCCCTTTGTCCCGTATTTAAGTTCCCAGATTGACTTCACACATATTAAGGAAATAAATTTAATGATGGGTATATTTTACTGTAGGATGCACTATTTTGGCACTGCTTAACACTGTTTTGCATGATTTTGGTGTAGATTTGTTTGCCAAATAAGAAACTGTGAACTTGCTTGGAACATTCAAAAAAGAAAAATGGGGGCTTAAATACGGGACAGAGGGAGTATATAATAGACCCTTATATTATATTGAAAAAACAATTAAGTTCTTGTCATACTTTTATATCACCAATTAAGTCTTTCAACTTTTAAAAAATGATCAAGTAAACTTTTTTACCGGTAGTTAATGTGTTACCAAGTCAATATGCCAATGTGGCACTCACTGCCAACCCACATGGATAATTTTAGTCATTTTCCTTATTTTTTTCATTCACTCCTCCACTAGCTTAAGGATCTTTTTCTGCGTAGCTCCAAACTCGCTCACTGCCTGAGTGCACACCCCCATCAAGGGGAGTTTAGGTTCCTCCATCCTCGGTGAGAACGAAAACGACATAAACTCCAGGACGTCCAGGACTGTAATTATGGTGATGCTGAGTTGAATCCTGCTAAAGAAGCAATAGCGGGCATGGTGCAACAAAGAAGAGCATTCTGACTACGGCCTGTGAGAAGAATGGGCGATGAGGATGATGTTCTTATTCCTGTTTTTCTGGCGTCCTCCAATTTCGTAGCAACAATCTCATTTCTCTGTGGAGGCTTCAAATAAAGAAAATAAAAAGGGAAAGGAGAAAAGAATAGTCAAAAAGGGAAGGAGAAAATAAGAAGCTCGGGCCAACCTAACTGCAAGATCCATTGTAGCAGAAGTCTCTATTATTAATTGCATATTGGATGTTTAATTTTAGTCTAACACACTTATGAATAAAGTGGTCGAAAGTAAAAGTTATGGTTAAAATTTGAGTAGAATAAACTAAAATGATAAGGACCGCATATTTCTTACCTAACAAAAGAAAAAATGACATTCATTTTGCGACAATCCAAAATGAAAAAATAAGACGATCAAAATGAGACCAAAGGAGCATATGATGGTCTAGACAAAGGTTGTACAAGTGAGAGAGCTACTACCTATCAACTGTCCACGACATTGCTCCCATTTCGAATACACCATTGGATCCATTTTCACAGTTGAACTGTTGAAGTACTCAATCAGTTTAGCCTAGGGCTGGACTCGGGCCGGGCGGCCCGACCCGGGACCGAACCGGCCCGGTCACTGTTTGGCCCGGCCCGGCCCGTGACCTGGTGGGTCCACCGGATCAGTTTGGCCCAGCCCGGGTGCTGGGCGGTCCGGGCTCGGGCCCAGGTTTTGGTGAACCGGCCCGGCCGGTTCGGGCCCGGTCCGGGCCGGATTTTAATTTTTTTTTTCTTTTGAAATTTTTTTAAGTTTTAGGTTGGATTAGGTATTTTGGGCCATTTGAGGTGGTTTGAGATGGTTTGGCCTGGAACCGGAACCGGCCACCGGCGGTTCGGGCTCGGGCCTCCCTTTCCTGGCCCGAGGCCCGGCCGGGCCCAGGCCCGAACCGGGCCCGAACCGGCCCGAGTCCAACCCTAGTTTGGCCCAATTTGTACCCGTGATACAGCAATAACAACATTATTTCTCCTCTTGCATATATCATATACAACTCATACAACAGCTTGAAGTGAAGAATCACAACTCACAACATCATCACAAATTAGATATGGACCGGTACCGGGCCGGGTTCCGGGCCAGTGCAAACTGGGACAAAAAAATTTGGGTAAGGCCCCATAACGGCACGGGATTCTGCCAGGACTGGGCCGGGCCTGGACCAGGTCGGGCCGGGCCTGGACCAGGCCGGGCCGGATTATATAATTTTTTTTTGCTTTTCTAATTAATTCCTACCCCACCCCCAAACCCCTCCAAAACACCCAGCCCCACAAGCCTACCAACCCAACATTTCGAAAGAAAAAAAAAATATTTGGGTCCGGACCGGTCGGGCCGGTTCCAAGAGAAGGTGACAGTGTGACCCACCCCAAATCCCCACCAGTCTGGGCCCCAGGCCCGGTCCCGGTCCCAGCCACCCGGGTCGGGCCGGTTCAATACAGTACCGGGCCAGGCCAGTCAACGGCCCAGTCAACCCAGTCCCGGTCCATCCTTGTAACAAATTCACAATTAGAGACTGAGCAAGAAACGGAGTGTAACATTTGTAGAATTTGATCTAAGGTGATCTTTTGGACGAAGAGGAGGACCTCTAAACTATTAGCCATGTGACTCCTTAAAAGCTGAAATCATAACTTCAAAGAAACTCAAGGTAAAGAATTTTCTTTTGGAAGCGCCGGTGGGATTATTAAAATCCATGAAAGAATAAAATGATGGTATAAATGTTATCAATTTTTGTTAGATATGTGAAAATAAAATGACGGTTATAATAATAGTATAATATGAATAATTAGTCGGGTATTTGATAAAGTTGTAATAAATTGAAAAGTTGAGCAATATGTGTTTCGGAATTGGTGAGTATCAACAACCCCGGAAAGTAACAAGAACACATTGAATAACGAAGCTGATCGTGTCTCTTATTTCCTTAGCAGCCTTATTTAAATTACTGCACTGCTATAAATGGAATTAATCTTTCGTCCTCATCACACTTCACTTCTGAGATTTGAGTTCTTCTACTCGCTTTTCAGTCTCCCTCAATGCCTTGCCATATATACTAATCAACTGAAACCAGATGTGAACGCGATCAGAATGCTCAAAAAACAAAAAAGAGAAATAGCTTTAAGATAATACAATTAGTTCGTTGAGATTATATTTCTAAATGTTGAAGGTGTCCTACATTGCCCTAATATAAAATACCAAACCAGCCTAATAGCCTAATAGGCATTACACTACTCCGTATCTTTAAAGATGAAATCTCAAGTCTTAACGAGATATTAGAGTACACCCGACCCTTAACCATGGCATGGACCATAATGACATTAAAAAATGTACTAATCTTGTTTGACTGCAGTAATGTGTGTGACCGGATGAAAAATAATATCACAGCCCGTGATTGGATGACTAGTGATGACAGATGAGTGAATGTGTCCCCTTATCTTATACTTTTTCTATTCTTACATAGTTGCAATAGTTTGACTTTCACAACCACCAAAACATGATTTTGACTGTCAATATATTTAAAATGGTTATAAGTGAATATTTCGTAGTATATAAAAAACTTATTTTGAAAAGTTGACATTTATACAAATTCAACAAAAAAATCATAATAGCTTAATAGGATTTCTATATGCATTATTAATTAAATAGGTTAAAGTAGAGTTTGAGTAATTCAAAAATCAACTTCTTGCAGTAAAAAATAGAACTACAGGGACCAAACTAGGCGGGCACTAGGCTTAGTTGGGCACCAGCTGGTCTAGGAAAAGAGGCCTAATCTGATACAGTGATACTCGGGCGGTTGGCGGTTCAATAAGAATATTTAGCTGATCCAGGAAAATGCTAGAGCCCAGACAGGGATTATCAGGACAAAGCATACATTACCTCGTCAACTTCTTCGTGAGTCATAATAAATGGAGGAGACATCATTATGTTGTCACCGGCTACACGGACGAGCATCCCATTCTTTTGACACTGAGCTCCAAAATAAGCACCAACACCTGAGAGAAAATTTGAATAATCAGTTTTACCCAAAAGCTTGGATTGAGTACACATTAAAATCTTGTGTAGAACACCCATACAAGGGATGAGATGGTAATTACCCCATTCAGAAGGGAAAGGATCATTGGGAGACTTGTTGTCAGTAAACTCTGTTCCGAGGATCAAGCCAAGCCCCCGTATCTATAAATTTAAAAGACCAGCTATATATTATTTTACGGAAGGAACAACGCAGGGATGAAAATAAGATGTACCTCTCCAATGATTGGGCTGTCTGAAAATGCTTTTATACCGTCTTGGAATTTAGGAGCTATTCTGTTAACTTGATCAACAATATTTCTCTCCCTGAATAAACATTGTAGTGATGTCACTCTACTTTATCAAAAGCTTTAATAATAGGTAATAATAACTAATAACCACACATACTTGTAGATCTTTAGTGACTCCAATGCGACAGCACAAGCCACCGGGTGCCCAGAATAAGTAAAACCATGGGAAAAAGAGCCTGGTTACACATTAAGGGTCCGTTTGTATGATGCAAAATACAAGGAAATGAAAATATTAAAGGAATACACATAGTGAAATATTGGAACTTGGAAGGAAACAAAAATGTGGGTGGGGGGGTAAGAATTAGGATAAAACTCAATAAATTTATTTTACATATTTGTTGATCCACATTTATTAATATACTCGGGACTCTAAGCACTTGTAAAAAATCATATTATTAATTTTCCTTTGCTCTTTCCAATATAAAATATGTGAACTTTCCTTTGCACTTTAGTGTGTCTAAGATGCGCATATTGCGTTGGACGTGTGGTCATACTTAAATGCGCTTGAGGAATGAGGCAACTAGACAAAAGGTAGGAGTAGCACTTATTGAAGATAAGACACGAGAGTCTCAATTGTGTGGTGGTTTGGTCATGTGCGTAGAAGACCGAGTGATGCACCTGTTAGACGAGTTGAGAGGTGGGGAGAAGAGCAGGCCCGGCCACGTGAAAGCGGTGCAAGTGAACAAGGGCCCCGTTAAAAGAAGAGGGTCTCAACTTATTGCACATATCATGCCCATTAGGAAAAATATACTTCGTATATTTTTAAGTAGTTTTGCACTTGGGCCTGGTGAAACATTTTGGAAGAGCCGCAAACGACTCTTGAGAGGAACTCTTCGAAAATTATGCATAACTATTCTGTGGAAGACGGGAACTCGGGAAGAACAAGACCTGTGAATGACTCTTAGTAATAACCTTGAGCAATTACGAGCTCCGAGGATAAGTAATTCATTATTCATCCTGATCGAGGGCTTTAGTAATTATTCCGTAGTATTCACAAATTATAATACATATGTGCATTCGCCACTTCTCTCTTCTTCACAATCGGCCCTCCCTACCCCACGCAGATATGCTAGTACGCTTCCTCTGTTCGATCTTCACATAATCACAATTCACAGCTTCACGTAATCACACTTCCCAAATCTCAATTTCCATAGAAGCTCAGGAGTCTCCATAGAATCAATGAGTTATGCAGGTTGTGGCTTCAATATAAGATATCTCCACTTCCACTGCTGAATCCGTACTCCATATCTGATGCAGAGAGCAAAGGTTGAGAGGCGTAGAGTATGAATCTCTTCAGTCTTACACTTAACCACTCCAGCCTCCAGCTCTCCACGAGTGGTAGTCCGCTAGTATTTACTTTCTATTGCTCCAGCCTCCGGTGCAAGCCTGAAGTCTGAGACAATAAGACTCACAGCTTTGTTTCATTCATTTGACCCCTTTTAGGCTTTTAGCTATTTGTTATCTTTTTCATTAAAGATGTCCAGATTATCTCCTTGAATTGGAAAATATAAAAACCTAAGGACGAACAGAAACCAGGGCCTGCCCTGCTCTTTGTAAGAGACTAAAAGGGCCTCCTTTTAATTTTCGAACAGGGCCTTTAGAATATCATGGCTGGGCCTGGAGAAGAGCAAGGAGGATAGGGAGAGGAAGAACCAAACAGAAGTGGGTTAGAGGAGTCAGGGGTGATGTGCTTCTTGGGTTGCATGAGAGTATTGGGTTAGATGAGAGTATGACTTTGGAGAAAGCAAAGTGGTGGGAGAATATTCGTGTGGAGGATTCATCTCTTTCCATATTCTGGTTTGGTCTGATCTGTTTTTTTTTGTATTTTTATAACTACCCAAGTCTGGTCTGGGACAAATTACAGTCCAAGTAAAAACATCCTAAGGCTTGGATGTTGTTGTATTGATACTCGTTTTATATATGTGGCTACGGAATTTCAATATATGTAACTAGTGTGAAAGTATATTAGAATATATACTTTAGAATATGCTTTAGAGATTCTTGGTAGCAAATAAATTTGGCATATTCATCCGAAGAAATAGCAACTGATCCATCAAATGAGGTGGTAGCGGAAGCAACATGAGCAATCAAATTTCCTTAATTTTTGAATGCCAACTTTCTACAATCTTTGAGCAAGTGTCCGGACTTCTTGCAGTAATTGACCTGTACGAAACATTTTTTTTTGTTCCTTTTTTTTTTGTATTTTTGTTTTTTTTCTCCTTTTTTTTTAAAAAATCAAATCAAATCTGAGATTGCATTGGAAACTTACAGCAGCCTTTTTACGTGTGGGCTCAAATTTTGGAAAAAATGATGCAGAATAAAGGAAAGGAAGGTGACCACAATTTACTTCTTGGACTTCTGTATTCTCCAACTCTCCAAGCACACGGTAATCAGTAAAAAATCATAGCAAGAATAACAACAGGTCTCACCAGATTTTGAGTTGAACTGACTGATATTCACCCGAGGTTAACGCGTCGAACTATTCCTCCGGTTTAGGCAAAGAAAACAAATATTCTCCTCCCTTAACAATCTGCTAGAAGATTGTGACAAAGCAACCGGGTGTGTTCCTCGCGAGTTTGCGTTGACTTTTACGCAACAAGGCTATCAAGGCAGGAACTAATGCTTACCAGGACGAAACGAGCGACCACAAAAGTGAGGCCATACGCAGGCGAGCTGATGGGTGGTTTTCGATCGGAAATCTGGCCGGAGAACAGACGAGACGCGCCGGCGCGTGAGTTAAGTTCGCCGTGCTGTGGCGGCGCGTGCGGCTCACTCGCTTAGAGTATGGGTGTCGGACTTTTGTTTCTGTGTCGTCGGAGGTAGCCGCACCACCTGGGTACGGTGGTGATGAAATGTGTGGTCTGAAATTTGTGAGGTCTGGGGGCAGACTGTGATAATTGACTTTCTGGGAAATTTAGAGGTTCTGAAGAATCTGAAAAACTGAACTCAAGTTCCTCAAGAATCGGAAAGCTGAAATCCTGAAGAAAGAATTTAGAGACAGACTGGTGTCGAAGGTTCTGAAGACTGAATTCAAGGAAGAATCCAATCTGAAAATTAACTGAAATCTGGAAAAAACTAAACTAAAATGGAAGGCTCTGATACCATGTTGAAATATAAACTAGAATGATATTAAAGATGGAGAGAAGGATTTTCTGTATATTTCATTGAAGGGTAAGGCCTTATAAATATAGATTACAAAGATAGAATATTCCTATACAAGATGCTATACAATAATACTATATATTGTATATTCCTAATATATTCTAAAGCATATTCTAAAGTATATATTCTAGAGATGTTAATCCTCATCTTACAAAGTTAGATCCCAAATCATTAAAATGTATTTTCTTGGGTTATTCTCGAGTCCAAAAGGGGTATAGATGTTTTTGTCCGAGTACTGGTCGGTATCTTGTTTCTATTGATGCATCATTTCATGAAAATACACCTTTTTCATCATCTAAGGCAGATATTCATGAGAGTAATGATGATATACTCATTTACACGATGACTATTCCCGAGTCCACACTTTCGACAAATATTCCACAAGTTATTGTTCCTGACCCTAGGCCTCCCGTACATTTGGTATACACCCGTCGACACAAAGCACCTGATCACCCTCCACCGGCGATACCTGTGATTACTTATCCTGATACTAGTTCGACTCCGATCTCATGTCCTGAACCAGTACCTGCATCTTCAGATCTTGTCTCCACATCAGATCTTGACCTCCCAATCGCACTACGTAAAGGTACACTGTCTTGTACTCATCCTATTTCTTCATTTGTGTCGTACAATCAGTTATCTCCTGCTTCATGTTCTTTTATTGCTTCCATTGATTCTATTTCTGTTCCCAAATCTGTCAAAGAAGCTTTGTCTCATCCTGAATGGCGTCATGCCATGGTAGAGGAAATGAATGCTTTAGATCTTAATGGTACTTGGGATTTGGTTGACTTGCCTACAGGGAAGAAATCTATTGGATGTAAGTGGGTCTTTGCTGTTAAAGTTAACCCAGACGGATCTGTTGCTCGGTTGAAAGCCCGATTAGTTGCGAAGGGTTATGCTCAAACCTATGGTGTTGATTATTCTGACACTTTTTCTCCTGTTGCTAAATTAACATCTGTCAGGTTACTTATTTCACTCGCTGCAACTCATGATTGGCACTTACATCAGTTGGACATTAAAAATGCATTTTTGCATGGTGACCTTAAGGAAGAAATCTATATTGAGCAACCTCCGGGATTTGTTGCTCAAGGGGAGTATGGTAAAGTTTGTCGACTTCGCAAATCTCTTTATGGTCTGAAACAGAGTCCTCGTGCATGGTTTGGGAAATTCAGTCAATCAATTGAACAATTTGGAATGATAAAAGGCAAATCAGATCACTCTGTCTTTTACAAACAAACAGAATCAGGTGTCACATTGCTTGTGGTGTATGTTGATGATATTGTGATTACAGGGAGTGATAATGCAGGTATTTTGGCCCTTAAGAATTTTCTGCATAGTCAATTCCAGACGAAAGATCTTGGCTCTTTGAAATACTTTCTGGGAATTGAGGTAACACGAAGTAAGAAAGGCATATTTCTATCTCAACGTAAATATGTACTTGACTTACTAGCTGAGACAAGGAAATTAGGGGCAAAACCAAGTACAACACCGATGGTTCCCAATGTGCAACTCACTCTAGAAGGCACACCGTTTGAAGACCCAGAAAGATATAGAAGACTGGTTGGAAAGCTTTATTATCTCGCAGTCACTCGTCCAGATATTGCCTATTCTGTGAGTGTAGTGAGTCAATACATGTCATCTACAACCATTGATCATTGGGCTGCAGTAGAACACATATTATGTTACTTAAAGGGTGCACCAGGACAAGGTATTGTTTATCAAAACCATGATCACATGAGAATAGAATGTTTTGCAGATGCTGATTGGGCCGGTTCTAAAGATGATCGAAGATCTACATCTGGTTATTGTGTCTTTGTTGGTGGTAATCTTGTATCTTGGAAGAGTAAGAAGCAGAATGTGGTTTCTCGTTCGAGTGCCGAATCAGAATATCGAGCTATGGCACAATCTGCATGTGAGATCATACGGATAAGCCATTTATTGACCGAGCTCGGACTGAAGACATCAATGCCTGCTAAATTGTGGTGTGATAACCAAGCTGCTATACACATAGCAAACAATCCTGTATTTCATGAGAGAACAAAGCATATTGAGGTTGATTGTCATTTTATTCGAGAGAAGATACAAAAAGGATTGATCTCTACAGGATATGTGAAGACTGGGGAACAACTTGGAGATCTGTTCACTAAAGCACTAAATGGAATTCGAGTTGGTTATTTATGTAACAAGTTGGGCATGATAAATATCTATGCTCCAACTTGAGGGGGAGTGTGAAAGTATATTAGAATATATACTTTAGAATATGCTTTAGAATATATTAGGAATATACCATATATAGTATTATTGTATAGCATCTTGTATAGGAATATTCTATCTTTGTAATCTATATTTATAGGGCCTTACCCTTCAATGAAATATACAGAAAATCCTTCTCTCCATCTTTAATATCATTCTAGTTTATATTTCAACAACTAGTAAGCATGTTTCACTTTACTTTGCACTGTCCAAGATCAGACAAAAAGCAAGCCTAAATAACATTGCACTTTTTGTTCCTTCCTCCAGCATTTTCTAGATCCAAAGTTCCAAACATACTTTTGTAGGGAATTATACACACACACATATTGTCTATTGATATATAGAAATTAACAACATACAAGTGTATGTATGTATGTATGTATGTATGTATGTATGTATGTATATATATATATAGAAGTTAACATAAACTTGGTATACCTAATTAACAAAAACATCCTAAGGCTTGGATGTTGTTGTATTGATACTCGTTTTATATATGTGGCTACGGAATTTCAATATATGTAACTAGTAAGCATGTTTCACTTTCCTTTGCACTGTCCAAGATCAGACAAAAAGCAAGCCTAAATAACATTGCACTTTTTGTTCCTTCCTCCAGCATTTTCTAGATCCGAAGTTCCAAACATACTATTGTAGGGAATTATACACACACACATATTGTCTATTGATATATAGAAATTAACAACATACAAGTGTATGTATGTATGTATGTATATATATATATATATATATATAAGTTAACATAAACTTGGTATACCTAATTTACTGCTCTGGGAATGAATGACTTCGTTGATTTCAGGGCTCACTAGGACAGCCCCAATTGGCATATATGCAGAAGAAAGAGCCTGGAAATTTTGAAGTATTAGTTGAAACATAGGTTGTGATAATTTACTTTAATGATATATCTTATCTACCTTAGCTATGGAGACAAGATCGGGTTTGATATTATATTTGTCACAGCCAAATCTTGTCCCAAGCCTGCCAAATGCACATATCACCTCATCCGCAATGAAAAGAATGTCATACTTTTTAACTACAGCTTGAACCTGCATATAAGAATGATTACAAAATTTTAAGAAGCGTGTAGCAAATGGCATGAACATAAGTACATAACGTGAAACTGTGAAAGAGATGCCAAAAGCATTAATAAATATATATACAGAGAAGCGAAGAGAAAATGTTCAGATGCTTAAATAAAAGTGTATTAGCATTTGAAAGATGCACGAGAGAAAAACAGATATCTCCACTCCAAGATTCACAATAAAACCTTGTTTGATCAAATGACAACTTTTTAGTTTTCTAGGGTATAACTCTTGTAAGTCCTTTTTTCTTTTTTGAAAGGAAACTATTGTATTTACAACTTGCTTGTTTTTTACTAAACTTATCACATTTACCTTGTTAATGACTTCTTTAATAGATGAAAGAGAGAATCTTTTTTTGTCGATCAGACGATCAGAAATTAGTTTGTTTCTTTAATTAAATTTATCTTATTTAGTTTGTTAATGACTCTTTTTATGGAAAATTACATGAAAAATAGATTTATTCGTCGACAAAGTGCTCTTTTTGTTATCGTCAGCAAATAACTCTTTATGTTTAGACATGAACAGTTTTCTTTTCGTTGAACAGTTTTGTTGGAAGGGAGTAATTAGTTCCCAAGCAAACAAAAGAATGGGAATGAATAAGGAGCCTCACCTTATCAAAATAAGCAGCTGGTGGCGGAATAACACCGCCTGCTCCCATGACAGGCTCGGCAATGAAAGCAGCTATCTATTAAATGGAAAAAGTGGCCGAAAAACCAACAGACACACAAATAAAAGAGATTAATTAGGAGCCAACTGCCAAACCATGGTTAAACATTATAATAATCAAAAGTAAACAGAAAATCATAGTATGAACTTACTGTGTCGGGTCCTTCTTTGAGGATAAGATTTTCCAAGTTATTTGCCAACCTAGTTGAAAATTCCTCCTCCGTCTCATCTGAGAAAAAGAGATAAATGTGTTCTTTATGCACAATTTCTCACTTTAAAAAGGAAACAGAATCTATATTAAGAACCTGGGAGATGATAGCGCCAATAATGAGGACAGTCAGTGTGCAATACAAATGGTGCAGGCAGATCAAAATTTTGATGTAGTGCTGGAAGGCTTTTTATGAAATAATGAAGAACATAGTAAAATAACAGTTCAAGCTTCAAATTTATAATAATTTGCTTACAAGGCTTAAAAGAACAGTTGAAAAGAATGTTTACCCAGAAAGACTTGCTGAGATGAGTGTCGATCCATGATATCTGCCAGTATAAACAAAAACATAAAAAAAACATTAAATTGGCAGACATCCCAACCCTTGGTTTGGTTCAATGGAGTGGGGAGGAACTAGCATTTTGAGAATAAATGTAGAATATTGCATTTAATATAAATTTTGTTATAATTAAAAGTAGGGAAAATTTCCGAAATAGGAGTAAAGGATGTTTTTACTTGGACTCTAATTCGTCCCAAACCGGACCATACTTGGATAGTTATAAAAATACAAAGAAACCAGACCAGACCATATCAGACCAGACCAGCAAATTACCGTCCAAGTAAAAACATCCAAAATATGAGTACCAAGTTTTTATTTCCTAAATAAGGGAAATTACTGTCAAGGTTGGAAAATATGACCATGTTTAAAGCCTGGTAATGCCAAAACATGGCAGTAATTACTTCTGTTTAGGGAATATAAACATCGTTTGAGGAACACCAAGAATGTAGACTGAATTTGGAAAAAATAAAGGGGAAATACATAACAAAATAGCTCCAGAAAAATCCCCCAAATTGGGGAAGTGAGAAGTAACTACTTGAGGAGTTGGGAGGATTTATAGCCCCACCACTTTCCTTCCCCTCCCCCGGTCAAACACACGCCACTTCTTCGCTTACCTCTCCTCCCCTCCAAAATTTTCATACCAAGCAAGACTAAATGAACAATAGAATAAAATGCATTTGAGGAACCATATTACGATTTTGCACGAGCAATGAACTTTTTCTTGTTTGGCCTTCCAAGTGCATTGTTGTAATACCATACCAGCTTCACCTGCAGGAAAAAAAAAACAATTATTTCACTTAGCGGGGGGTATATGTATGGTTTAGATAGAAATTTTGTTTAAAATAAAGTAGTTTAATTCCATTTCATATAAAATGTTTAATGAAAGCTAGTTCTCAAAGTGAACTTAACAATGCTGGTGCAGCCATATGCATGATACATAAGTGGAGGAGATAAATTTATTTTATTAATTCATTCTCACTGTGCTTTAGTACAGGGGTAAGACTAGGGGTAAGACTGGGTACACGCGACCCCCCCCCCTTACCCCACCGAAGGTGTGGGAGCCTTTGCGGCAATGGGGTAATGATGATGATGATTCTTACACTACAAGGTTGTAATAAAACTTAAGAAAGTGAAGATGAATATTACATATAAAGATATTATTTAACCCAAGGCATTCTCGGATACTCCTTTTATTGACTTTCAGTTGCTCTTATTTGAGTAATTTCCTTTTATAGAAGTTTATTATAACTTGATCTGCTTTCCTTTTTGGCAACTTTTCTTACTTTTTCATCTTCAGGAGACCAATTAAACATTCTTACTTTTTCATCTTCCCATTCCAAATTTTCCTACTTTTCATCTTTTGTCTCTGACTTTTCACTTTTTCTACACTATTGACAATCCCTGCAACTTTACTCTTAAGTTCCGTTAAATAATTATTGGAGCAGTTTATTTTTTAATCCAAGACTAATATTTGCAAACAAATTAGTAAAACAAATATCAATCATCCCCTTTCCTTCTCTCCACAATTCCTCAACTAAACAATCCCTAAGAGTTGAGGAGTAAGCAGCATGAGATCAGTAGAATTGAAGTTAGTAGAAAACCTGTGTATCATTTGCTTCAGATCCACTATTGGTGAAAAAAACTTTTGCCATTCTTTTTGCAGTAAATGTCTCTTGAAGCTCCTTGGCAAGGTCCTGTATGTCTCAAGAAATTTAGAGATTTTATCAAGCAACAAATACAAGCATATATATTGATTGAAAATTCAGCATACCAATGAAGGCCTTGTTGTACGGTTCCAAAATGAGTGATAAAATGGCAAAGTATTCAGCTGTTTCGTAGCAGCATCAACAAGTCGGGGTTCATTTCCCCCTGAAACTCCACAGGACCAATCATGTTAAGTGAAGTGTAAGAATTTAGTAAAAAATAAATGATAAAATCAACATTCAGTGAAGGAACAAACAAAAAAAAGTGAAATCCCAAATAGGGTCCAATCTCAACCATGTCTTGATAAAAATTCAAGAATTTCATCTCATTATTCATGCGTAAGAAGGTTGGGGCAGAAAGGACATCTGACATAAATCATCGCTACTATAATTTTTTGCATGAATTTATATTGTTTGCAATTTTTATATAAGCAATTGACTATAGATATAATGTCACCACCATGAAAGAGTTGGGATTACAGTGATGATGAATAATGAATTTATAATCCCTCTGCCCCCTATCTTTGTCCCGTTTTACCTTTTTCGTCCGTCCCACTAAGTTTTTCTATACCATATTTGGCAATATTTGAGTAGTTGCAATTGATTTGTATTTTATTCACACTTCATCAATTTCATTCTAATAACATAATTCCATTTTCCTTAATAAGTTAATAACATCACCAATCCCACATGTACCAATCTTAGGGGCACAGGTTAATATTGAACATCAGCCATACGTAGTATATTTAGTCCACAAGTTCCCTTTCTAAGCCCCACTTTTCTTTTTGGTAGTGATACAATTATTTCCCTTTCTTTTTTTGAACTTCACTAAGTTTCACTTGCTATTTTCCCCTTTTATGATTTTGACATTTGGAACTATTCTTGCAACTCTTTACTAAAGTCACCAACCTTTTGAAGGGTGAAATTGGAAAAGTAACCAATTATTATATGTTTCTTTAATATGCATACAGAAAACGACAGCGGCTTATTTTGGAACAGGTGGAGTTGCATGTAAAAACAACTGAATATAGAACCCTAAGCTGGTGGTTTTACCTAAAGCTGTGCACCATAAACCTGCAAGGGAATCAAGATACTTCTTCCCATTCACATCATAGACATATGAACCCTGTAGAAATCCCACAAAAAAGTTGGTTTTATCCCAGAGACCCAGAGTCTACTCAGCACTCAGACCACTTAATTCTTTAATGGTACGTTTAAAAAATGGAAAATGCTAGGGAAAGAAAATAGAGAGGAAATTTGGAATGAAAGAAAATGTCAAGGAAAATAAAAACTACTTCAAACTATTTATATATCAATTTTATATATCTGCTTGAATTCATGTTATGTGGATATTTTTATATGGCCTAAAGACTAAAAATCTGAATATATGTAAGAATTGAAATAAGTGTTAATCAATTTCTATCTACCTTCATAATTTCTAATGTACAACCAAACATCAATTACCAATTCCTGTTGTATTGTTTTTTCATTTCCCTGCCATTTTCAGATTTCCAAACATAGCTTAAATGGTTAAAAAACGAAGATCCACACCTCAGACTTTTCTATTACTAAGGGATCCAGATCGGTGGTCTGCCATCCGGCAGTAAAGGGTGCTAACATATCATGACCTTTGAATCTGAGAACACGAAGGACTCATTAGTCAATCAGCAAAGTTTTATCTAAAATTATTCTTTGGATACAGTCCAGAAAAAGAAACTAGGAGTGTGTCTGATAAGGGGGAATTTGTTAAAACGGCTGAAATTGTGGAAATTGATGAAACTGCTCAAATGGAAATTATGAAAATAAATATAAAGAGAAAACACATAAAAAGAAAAGCCCAAATGGTTATCTTTAACAACTTCAACCAAAAAACATATAATCCCACTTTTTACTCTCCAGTCTCGACCAATAATTTAGTTTTATACACACAACCAAATAAATTGGAGTTTGATTAAAAAAAACATACTGAGAAGCCAAGAAAAGTAGCTATAGAACACCACTAAATGTGATCACTTGTAGAGAGAGATATTGGTACGAATATAGACATATTATCTTACCCTCTTTCACAGGTGCTTGAATCATCAGATGCCTTTGCACTACTCCATCTAGCTTGAGAGTGACTGTAAATAACAGATCCAAGCAAACCACCAACACTAGGAAGACATTTTACATAGGAGCCAACCTGTAAGAGAGTTTGAATGAGCAGGGATAAAAGTCTCATTTAACAAATTTAAAAATTATATTACGTAATTGGTTTTATACAACAGCAGCATTACCCCAATGCCGCAAAGGCTCCCACCTACGGTGGGGTAAGGGGGGTCGGATGTACGCAGCACCCCTGTACTATTCAAAGGGAGACTGTATTCACACTGCCTTACCCCAGTATTCAACATAAAACATTGCAATATCAGCAGTGTGAGTATAGCACAACATTACATGCTCAATTGAGAGAAAAAGTTTTTTAATAACAAATAAATTGAATACTGGTTTGTGCTGTTAATTACATTAACTTTCCGTCAAGACTAACGTATAATGTTTATCAACCTTAATTCCAGCAAAGTATTTAGTGAAACAGAAAAACAAATCCTCAGAGAAAGGAAAAATTAGACTTAAATACATTAATATATAAAACACTACTGATGGAGATATTTAATGTACAAAAGTACGGGCCTTTGTTATTCGTAAGACATCCAAGATTTCCCCCAAGGAATGTTTGGATGGAGGGAGAGATTTGGAGGGCCTAGGCTACTTCTCTATAAAAAAAAAAGTTTCTGAAAATGAATATAGGGTGGAAAAGGGGGCATTTTTCCTGCCCAAAATCATGGGTCATATACGGGTCGGGTGCTGTGAAAAGAAGTTTAGTTAGGGGGTGTTTGCAACTGCTTTTGCTTAAAAAAAAGCACTTTTGGAGTGATTGGGAAAAAGTGATAAGTAGTAAAAGTTGATAGTGTTTGAGAAAAAATGATTTTGAAAAGTAAAAGTTGGTAGTGTTTGGTAAAATAAGTGCTTTTTGTGTAATAGAAAAGGGAAAAGCACTTTTCACACGCAAGCCGAGAAAAAGTAAAAATTGGTAGGGTTTGGTAAATAAGTGCTTTTTAAGCCAAAAGCTGAGAAGTGCTTTTTTTAAGCTATTGCAAACACTCCCTTAAGTGTTGGGTTGGCCGTATGCTAGCAATTAATGCCAACCTTATGGATTGACGTCACTTTATTTAAACTAGGGATGAGATTGGTTGGTCAAATTTTGAGATCTTTAATTTGGATTTTTAACTGGGCATAATCTTGCTTTTATCAATTTCTATGTGCAGTCTGACATTTGTAGGCTGTTTAAGCTCACATTAAATGAAAACGAGACCGAGTAGGTAGTTGACCATGAACATTTAATTCTGCATTTAATATTCTCGAGCTTGATGAAAGTGGGTACATGATATTGTTCAATGGATAACATTCGGTAAATAAACAAACTTAATGCTAATGCACTATAAATATATAGGGATGATTTCAGAGAGCAATCTTTATGAGAAAAATGGTTGGAAATGGCCCTTTGCAATGAGGAGGTATCGATCTTCAAAAAGTTTTAAGATTGGGACTTTTATAATTCTTATGAATATCATTAATCATTACTCCCTCCGTCCCCGAAAGAAGTTCCCCATTTGACTTTCACACACTTTTATGCAAGTAAACTTACTAGGGGGTAAATTTTACTGTTTTGACACTGTTTTCACACTGTTTGGCACTGTTTGACACTGTTTTGCACTGTTTGACACTGTTTTGATGTAGATAACTTTCCATTTAAGGAAATGGGAACTTAAATTAGGGACATCCAAATAAGGAAAGTGGGAACTTCTTTCGGAGACGGAGGGAGTACATGTTTGTAGTATTTGTAAATCAGATTTGGTGCAGGAGATGATGACACAATGTTGACTACGTTTGCAGTTAACACCCAAAGTGAAGAAGCCTCGATGCTCTTAGTCGCCATGTCACCATAACAACCATCTGTCACATGCTTGAACAACTAAGTAAGAATCTTTTTAAAATAATATACATGTTACAAGCCATCTCATCTAACCATTTTGGACTCGATATTTCAGGAAGGAGTCTATTGAACGCTACATGGAAGTATGCTTTCTAAATGGAAAAAGGTGTTGTATTGTTTTTTTGAAAACATGATCAGTCATTTTTACTTAAAAACTATACCATTTGGACTTCTTTCAAGTAATGCGTGTATATCTCTTTCCTAGAATAATGCAAATTGAGTTTCATGGATTCTTATAAGTAGTTTTATATACGTTTAAGATTCACTAAAACTGGCATATTGACATTTACATTACACATTCTAAAAAAATAGGATGATTTAGTTCAAAAATTACACATTCAGAAATTTATTTTAAATATAATCTGTATTTGATGGTATTTCAATGAGAATGCTAAATAAGTATGCTGAAAAATATGCATATTTTTAAATATGCTTTCTTTTACTATAAAGCTATAAAAGCAAGCATATTTATAAACCTTAACCCGATGTATATTTATTTCTTTCTTTCATTCTTTGTTTATATAATTATAAAAATAATATTTTAATATATAAAATTAATTAAAAAAATTGCATTTTTACAGTAAACGCAGGAAGATAGGTTTATTATTAGGCATATAGAAAAAATCTAATTTCATATTTTATTATTAAAGATGTGTGTATATTTTGTTGCCATATAACAAAAAGAGACTGTGTAGCAGGAATAATAGATTCATAAGGTGTAATTAAGAAGCAATAACTTGACAGGAGTCAACGTACCGCTGTTTATTAACCTGCTTTGCCAGTTCACTACATATAGACTTAAAGCCATGAGCAACCATATCACGAATTCAGCTATGATCAATAAAAAAAATCTAGCAAAGCATCTCTCACAAGAATTCAAGTTTAAGTCCTGATCTGAGGACTTTCATCTCCAGGCAAGTTTTTTTAGTTAAGTAGGGCTACAGTTTTTCTGCCCAACAGGCTGCCAGACCCTGCAGATCTGAAGGACACTGTGGTGGCTTCCATGGAATCTGATAGTTCTAAAGCTAGGGTTCAAAATAACCACTAACCCACAGGGTATTGTAGTTTAGTATAGTTTATAAATAAGGGACTAGAATTTGGTACAGTTTATATAGCAACAGTACCTGTAACCTATTAGGATTGAACAAAAAGTTCCCAAAAAATCATTAAAAAGGTATGAAATCTGATAAAATTGTGGTTTAGATTTACGTAGACAATGCAAGTATCACTTTATCACCAGCACGCTAATTCCATATGCTTTCTGAAACATCGTATTGATAAGAATATTATGCAAGTTTATTTAAACATGACAGTGTCTAAAACAAGTTTATTTAATAGTTATTAACAGTTTAGGCTTTAAAATACAATAAACAGGCTACTATAGAGTTTTAAAAACTCTGGAACCAAACTTACTCCTTACATTCTACTAAGTCTGCATCACAAGCACTTTAATTGAAAAATGTTGCCTTGAATATCACTTTAATAATGACAAGCAGAAACAAAACCGGCTTCAACATGACAGTGGCTACTAACATGTTTGTATAATAGCCCGTTAGCACTATAGGTGTTAAAACACAATAACAAGGCTATAAAACAATCTTGAAAACTTGGAAGCAAATTTCGTTACTTCATTAATGTACAAGAACCTAATGTATGACAATTTTTGTTATGCAAATTTCATTATTTCAGAAAGTGCAGTGCATTTGTGTCACTCTTTTAAGAATATTACTTTACCAACCCCAATTACCCACAAATATAGTGTAATAAGATGATAGATCGTATTAGGTTTCATATATCCTCAGTCAAATTTGATTAAATAAATAGATTTACGTAAGTTTAAAAATCCTTTTCAAAATTGCAATACATGACTACTCCCCAACAGATCAAAACAGATTTTTGAATCGTATGATAAATCCTAAAATGGGTAAAGAAGCGTCATCGCAGATGTAACATGAAAAAATGTTATTATCAATTAAAATGAACAAGTCAACCGATACAACTTCTTGAATAAAACTTAGGACAAAGATATGATATATATACCCATCGGCTTTCCCGTGGTCGGATCATGGTTTGGCCGCCGTTGTTTGAGTTCGTACACAAACGATCAAGGCAAAGAAAGGAAGCGTATCGCTCAGACTATTGAACTGCCAGAAATCGTTTGGAGGGACGTATGGAACAATGAACGAAGGAGCAGGAACGAAGTATGCGGAGCGGAGGGTGTAAGGGCGAAGGTTTGAGAAAGTGTGGCAGAGCACTAGCGCACTTATCTGGTTGGTAGACAAATGATGAGAGGAAATAAAAGTTGACACACCCGCGTGTGCAAATAATACGGAATAATGATCAGCAATGATTGATAGGCACAATTATTTTCCGGAGGATATTTGCAATGCAACAATTGGGCTTGGGTACACACATTCATACACACACATACACACTATAAAAGCCCAAAAAACTACAATTTTTTTTTACCCTCCCTCACGTGAGATTGCAACCCCTAGCCTCTCTCCTCTCTTCCCCCTTCATCGTTTCTTTCTTCTTCCCCCAGCAGCTCGACCTATACCATCTCCTCTCTTCAAAATCAATCGTTTTTGGTGGCTTTGTGAACGAAATAATCATTGATACTACAGCAGACGAGTTTTGGGCTGAATGGGTTCAAACTGGTGCTTCTCGACCTGAAGGAGAGATTCTGGTGGCGGCTGAAGTTGACGGAGAACCGGCGGCGGAGGCCATGGACGACGTCCTTGAGCTTGGTATGAATTTGTGTTGATGCTTGATCGTTTATGTATTTGATTTCATTGGCTTTTAACATAAATATATGTTTGTTTTTCACAGACAATTCTCTGTATTTGTGTAGTGTATAATATCTTCTGTGTTTGTGAAGTGTATATAATTGTGGTTGTGTTTAAATGTTCTAAATTTATTGATGTCTGTGTGGAAATAAACTTCTATTTGAAATGTCTGTGTGTAAATATACTTCTGTCTGTGTATATATATTTATGTCCGTTAGTATTCAAGTTTTGTTCAACTATTAAATATCACTTTTATGCTCAAAAGGTGTTTGTTGAAATGTTTCAATGATTTTATTGATTCCTATACATGATTTTGTGTGTGCATGCGCATTCTCCTTTTTTGCCAATATGTATATACAATTGATAGATTTTAAATGTTATTTTCAACAAATCCAATAAGGTTCAATGCAAATTACATATAAGCTTCACAATTTAACTTTCCAATGAATTTCATATGTTTTTTTTATAAATAGGAGCTTTGAGATGCTTGTATGGTATATATGTACTGATATAAATATTTGATATATACTACAGATTTGGGAGTCGATTGGAGCTCCAAAAGGCAGACATGCTGATGAAGGCTTTTACTATCTTTGTTTGTTAATTAGTTCAAGATGGGAAACTCCAAAAAGAAGACACAATGATGAAAGACCAAAACTAGTCAACACATTAATATAATTTTCTAATTTAAATGGTGGTGTATGTTTAGCTTTGGAAATCTGTGATTTGTAGTAGTGGTAGCTATGTATAATCATTTTACGAGATTCCTTAGAGATAAAAGAATTCTGTGTTATATAAGTGTTATTAGTGGAGGAGATCAGACATTTTATGTCATTGTTGTGAATGTATGGGTGTGATTAAAGCATTTTCTGTGTGTTTATTTATTTATTTATTTGTCTGTGTGTATACAAAAACTGTTGTTTGTGTGCTCGTTTATTGATTTACCATTTGAGTGAATCTTTCTGGTTTGAATATGCAGGGGATCCTAATGACATGATTAATTGCAGTGCTTTAGATTTAAATTTTTATTTTCATGTAAATGTCCATGCATGTATTTTCACAGACATTTATGTATAAACACACATACAAAGTCTTTGGTCTTCACAGACACAAAATGTTTTTCTGGGAGATATTAATGTCTTGGCTACATATATACGTATTTACACTTTTTTTGAAAGTCAAAGTTTTTTTTAAATGAAATTTTGATCGTTTTTCATTAATGTTACCGAACTAAATGCTTCAAAAAAGAATCTCGTTTAATTCCCGTGCCGTACTTAACTAACTAGGCAATGAATTACATATACTAGTAGTTTTTAAACTAGTTATTTAAATAAACAAGTCAAGTTTTTAAAATTAAACTAATAATCTGTAATAAATATAATAAATGTAATCAAAGTCAAGTTACACCTGGGCTCAAGTGGTAATCAAAGTAATAAATGTTTTAGTTATTAAATTACATAAAGTAGTTATTTCATTCGAGACAAAAGTAATAAATGTTTTAGTTATTCTGGTGCTACATAAAATATCTTAAGTGGATGTAAGAGCGCATACATAGCACAGACAACTACGACACAAATCACAGACAAAGTCGTATTACAACACAAACAAGCTGTTTCTTCTTCACAGGCAAAGGCATCCCTCATATATATATTAACACCATAAACAGCAAGTGTTTGCCACAAAAACAAAAAGGCATACCAATCCAGGTAATATTTGGGAGTACATTCATTGGACAACATTGTTAGTGTAACATTGTACAACCTCCTAAATTTAACAACCAACCCCATGGTGGCAAAAAATGAGCACCAAAAAATGTATATAGTAAATTTAGTAAGGTTACATCATTGTTTTATAATCAAACTCATCCTACACTAAACATGTTCCTCAAAGTAGTCTAAGAGCCTCATTGTCTAAGTGGATGTTCCTCAAAGTCCAGAGCCTCATTGCAAATTCATATCTTTTCGCTGCCACATTCTCATATGCACACTCGGGCTGCAATGGCAAGATACATTCCAGGAGAGGTATAAATCGATGGAACCCAAACCAAGCATCCCTAGCACATATAAAAACCATCTACAAAGACAAAAGCCAACATGCATGCCACAAATTGTTAAACCATCCATATTTGTTTCAAATATACAAATGATGAAAGCTGGAAGATGAGAAAGGGGGGAGTACTGAGAAGTATTTGTGGAATAGGAAAAAATGAGAAACATTCAAACATAAAACCTCTGTCATGAGCAATATCCATTGTGTTCCAGTACCCAGCTTCCCACCAGAAGAACTTTTTTATGTACACCAACATCAGTACAGTATTCACAACCATGGAATCATCAACTTTTACATATTCTTAGTACCGGTCACTAGGGTGAAGTAATCTTCAAGAAATATGCAACAAGCATGTACCACATCACCAAAAGTACCTAAGATAACTAAAAAAGATATAAAAAGTTTAGATGTGAAATAAATAGGCAACTTTTTATAAAAAGTCAGATGCGAAAAATGTTTACTTTATATCATTGTCAAGGATAGTTTAGAAGTTTCACCTGTTTTATGCAGTAAGTGACATCTAGAACTGCCCAAGACATCATGCCAAATCTGCAGTTTGTGAAAACTTTGATATCAAAGTTTGATATCAAACTTAGCCAATACGAGGATATAGTTCCATCCCCTGCATTTAAAAAATATAGGGCCTTCAAATTACATTATTATTAAAATAATAATATACAGTTTCTTCCAATTAGGCAATTACTTCATTAGTACTTCGATAGGTTCTTTTATAAGTTCTGTATTTAGGTATTCTGTCAATTCACTTTTGTTGTAATAAGAGAATAACTATGAATAGAATCAATGAAGAAAGGAAACATGAGTAAGGTAATAATAAATACTAGTAATAAACTTGACAAAGCAGCAAACAGTGGCAGCTAGATCGTGAACTCAAACAAGCTTACCCAGTAGAAGTCAACAATTATGTTTCCTAATGAACCAGAATCAGAGGAAGATGGTGCAACATGACCCTATTATATCAGACATATGTTAAGTCACACAGACAAACATTCAGCTAGATACAGACAAAGAATCAGTCACACAGACAATCATATTACTCACACAGACATATGTAGAGTCATACAGACAATCATATTACTCACACAGACATATGTAGAGTCATACAGACAATCATATAAGTCTCCACAGACAAATGGAGCCACAACCAATTACATATACTCATACAGACAAATAACTAGACAAATCTATCTTTACACAAACAATACATATGTACTTCAAAATGCATAAAATTAACTTTACACAGACAATACTAGAAAGTAATGACATATCTCCAAACAAATGTATATTGTTCAAAATCCAAGCACTAGATGAGTCCAAAACTTCATACACAAAAATATTTTCTGAACCCTCCAAATAAACATCATAAATTGCCGAAAATGTTAAAAAATCCAATGATAGAGGATACATACCTTTTGTCCAGGGAAGAAAGCGAGGTTCACACCATCTTTGACTGAGATGAAATCAACGGCTTCGATGGGAGGTTCGCACCTTGGAGTGCGCAGCGACGATGGTCTCCTTGGACGGAGGTTGGCGGGGAGGAGGTTGCCTTCGATGGGGGGTTGTCGGGGAAGAGGGTTGGCTTTGTCGGGTGTTGGCGGCGACGAACAGCTACCAGCGACGACCAGCGACGGTGATTAATCAGAAGACCAAAGCAAAATTGATAGGAGGAAGAAGGGGAAGGTTGCGGTCATTCGAAGGAAGGGAGAAGGTGGGGATGAGCGAAAAATTTGGGAGGCAGAGTAGTGTCGTACGTGTGAATTGGAAGAGGTGAGGGAGTAAGGAAGGGGGTAAATTATTTTTAGGGGTATTTATAGTGTGTATGTGTGTGTATAAAATTTGTGTAACAATAGAGTTTTTGGGATATTTGAGCTAGGCCGCTAGACATTTTGCACAATTTAAAAAAAAAAAATCACGTGATAGTGACGCATGAACATTAACGCATGAACAGTAATTGCTTTTTTATTTCTTTTTATCTTAGTAGCATCAATGATGCAACTCACGTCCAAAATAATGTAACTCACGTTGTTGATCGATGTAACTTAAGTCAGTCGAAATGTAACTTGTCAAATACATAGTATAACAAACGAAATACTAAGTATTGATTTCAATGTAAACAATAAAGAAAAGAGTCTAAATGCACAATTACTTACTTAAATCGTGAATATGTTTTGTTTTTAATATCATGACCATCAAAACAACAATATCCAACAACAACATCCAAGCCTTAGTCACAAAAGATATTGGGGTCGACTAACATGAATCGATACATGATATCACAAAAGGAAAAGAAAGAAAATAAAAATAAAAAAGATAATATAAAAGAAATGAATATACATATAAAAGATAAAAAAAGGATAAAATAATATTTTTATATAAGGATAAAAGGTGATACAAGATCACTCCTCCACACG